CTCTACAGAATCCCCCGTCTGCAGCTTTATACAAACCACATCTGTGGAGGAAGAAGCTGCCGTGGCCTGCTGCTTCGATACGGGCTCCTCCCAGTCCGGCGGCGGCTGGCCGTTTCAATACCCCGCCTGCGACCTGTGCCGCCAGGCGCTTCAATCCACGCTTGGCGACGGCCTGGGCGGATGAAGCTGCCGCCTGCACTGAGGAGCTCACCGACGCATACACATCGCACCACTGTCTCAACACTCCTCGGGACACCAAGACAGCTTTCCGTCGCATACGCAACACGGTATGCAACGCGTGGTATTTCAGCCCTGGATATACCGCGCGCATGTGGTCGCCAAGTGCCGCGTTGAGTTTTTCAGCCGTGTCATACTGCAAAGGTCCAGAGTCAGGGTGATACTTCACGTACCATTGCCTCAAAACCATACCGCTGACAGCGACGGGAGGATCGCTCTCCGAGAGAAGCTGCGAGAGGACCTCCGCGGCGGCCTCGTCGGCGAAGCTCTCCCGATACTGATTGAGTCGAAGACGCTGGCCTATATATACTATAACAAACAGTTAACGAAGCATTTATAAATCGGATTAAACAACAATTTGCAAATTATGTTTTTTTCAGACTAACTGTCTGCCTATACATTCCTCCACAGATTGGGCAGTGTTCAATGCCCCCTTGGCGCCCCACTCCGTGCTGAGCCACTTCTGGCATACCCTGGCGTCAGCAGATACAGATAAATGCCCCGGGAGCCACTGCTTCAAGACGGCCCCGTCAGTAGTCCCCTCGGGCATGTCTGTGCGAATACGTTCTCCATACCAGGTCTCCAGATGGCCAGCGTTCTGCACTTTGACAAGCGTCTCTTTGAAAGAATACTGCAGTAGCCACGTCGTTGCGACCTTATCTGACACATACAGTGGTGGATCCAACTGTCGGAGCGCCCCGCATAATTTGAAAGCTGTATTATACTCGATGCCCAGGTGGCGGATGGCAGAGCCGTGCTGCTCCTCCAGCTCCTTGGCGCTAGAAATACTGACCTTGCCAGGCACAACCCGATACTTGCACCACCAAAGCTTGCACGCCTGGTGACTGACCTGGATACCCTTTGCAACGAGCGCCTGATGCAAATAATACGGGCTGCCGCAGTCAGCCAAGGGAGGCCGCGACAGCTCTGGGCCATACTGCTCGTCAAGGGCTTTCGCCGACAAAGCCATGACCCATCCAAGAACACAGGCGATACCTTGATCCGAGATGGCTACGGATGTGACAGTGATCAGTGATTTTGTTCGATGACGTGGTGACACACTGACTTGTTGTGGTAACATTTTCTGGGCGCTAGCTTAGTGTACGAACGCACGCCTGGCCGTTTAACCCTAAGGTGTCGGAACGCCCTAGAGGCCGAACGCGCCGAACAGGAATGTTGAAAAACCATTGGTTATTGAAAGATCCAGCGAGAGCGCGCGGTGGATTTTCAGATTTTTTGGATGAGAAAGTCGTACGTTTTCATATGTTCTATTGAAGTCGTAGCTTGAAATTGTTGAAATCACAGTGTGTTTGGCAGGATTTCGAGGTGCGCGCGCGGTGGCCGCGCGCATGTGGCCCGCGCGACATTTTTTGCAAGGGATGGTGGCCCCTGGCAGGCGCGCGAACGTCATCGAAGGAGTTCGACGCGCGCGCGAAAGTCGCCCGCGAAGCCCCGATGGACAGGAATGTTGAAAAACCAGTAGTTCTTGAAAGATTCAGCGAGAGCGCGCGGGTGGATTTTCAGATTTTGTGGATGAGAAAGTCGTACGTTTTCATATGTTTTATTGAAGTCGTAGCTTGAAATTGTTGAAATCACCGTGTGCTTGGCAGGATTTCGAGGTGCGCGCGCGGCGGCCGCGCGCATGTGCCCGCGTGTCATTTTTTGCAAGGGATGGTGGCCCTCGCAGGCGCGCAGACGTTGTTGAAGCAGTTCGAGGTGAGCGCAAAAGTTGCCCTCGAAGCCCCGTTTGATAGGAATGTTGAAAAACCATTGGTTTTGGAAGGATTCAGCATGCGCGCGGGGGCAGATTTTCGGAATTGTTGGGTGAGAAAGTGGTGTGTTTTCATATGTTTTCTTGACATCGCATCTTGAAATTGTTGAAATCACAGTGTGTTTGGCAGGATTTCGAGGTGCGCGCGCGGCGGCCGCGCGCATGTGCCCCGCGTGTCATTTTTTGCAAGGGATGGTGGCCCTCGCAGGCGCGCAGACGTTGTTGAAGCAGTTCGAGGTGAGCGCAAAAGTTGCCCTCGAAGCCCCGTTTGATAGGAATGTTGAAAAACCATTGGTTTTGGAAGGATTCAGCATGCGCGCGGGGGCAGATTTTCAGAATTTGTTGATGAGAAAGTGGTGTGTTTTCATATGTTTCCTTGACATCGCATCTTGAAATTGTTGAAATCACAGTGTGTTTGGAAGGATTTCGACATGCGCGCGCGGCGGCCGCGGCGATGTGCACTTCGTGTCATTTTTTGCAATGGATTCTTGAAATGTGGTTATGTTAGAACAAGAAATGTCATTTTATATTGTTTTTTGCAAGGGAAAGCGGGGGGGAACAAAACAACCGGATCTGGATCACATCGTTTTGTCAAGGGCTTTCGCTCGAAAATGATGAAAACAAGGCTGCGGCCTAGATAAAACGGGGGGGTCGCGCACCAGGGGTCCCAACAATAATATTTCTTTAGAAGCAATAACATTCAACAACAACAACAACAACAACAACAACAACAACAACAACAACAACAACAATTACTAGCACGTGGGGACACTCCGTTCTCACCAGTGCCAGGGTTTTCATAGGAGGCGGGCAATACCCCCACTTTGTGGGGGGGCCGGTTCAAGCTCTACCAAATTTCCAAACGACTCTTCGCCACCACCCACACCCAGCTTCCCGCCCTATGACGTTCGGACACTTCACTTCGTGGCATGCGGACGACCGTGGCTACTATTCAGGGCCCCGCGGCCGACGACGACGGCGTGCGCGCGCGAAGAAAAAACGAATGTGTCCCGCATGGTATTATTTGACAGGGATGATGGCCCTGGCAGGTGCGCAACCGTTGTTGCAGAAGTTCGAAAAAGTTGCTCGCAAAAGCCCGTTTGACAGAAATGTTTAAAAAGTGTTGGGTTTCCTACGAATCCGCAAGAGCGCGCGGGATGAAATTTTGACATTTTTTTTTGAAAAACCATTGGTTTTTTGATGTTTTTATGTTAAAATCGCTACGAAAACTAAGGTTTTGGAAGGATTTCGTCTTGCGCGCGCGAATGTCCACTTTACCTTATTTTTTGCAAGGGATTCTTGAAGTTTGGTTATGTTAGAACAAGAAATGTCCACTTTAGCTTATTTTTTGCAAGGGAAAGCGGGCGTCAACAAAACAACCGGATCTGGATCACATCGTTTTGCCTGAGGTTCCTCACGAAAATGATGAAAATGAGGCTGCGGCCTAGGCGCGGCGGGGGGGGCGCGCACCAGGGGTCCCAACAATAATTATTCTTAAGAAGAAATAATGTTCAACAACAACAACAACAACAACAACAACAACAACAACAACAACAACAACAACAACAAAAACATCAACAACAACAACACCAACAACAACAACAGCAACAACAGCAACAACAACAACAACAAACAGAAGCAAGCACACAAACAAAACAAGTAGCCTGACGAAGGACCCAACTATATGCAGCTGCGAGTACCGCGAGGGAGATGAGACGAAGGAGGGGGGCGTGCAAACTCCGAGTAGCTCTCATAAGCAGCGCGCCGCAGGAAGAACGAGGCGCGGGGCAGTGCGGGCAGGGGTGTAGCGGTGGCGGCATGCGAGCGCAACCACTGGGGCCTTCGGTAGAGCTCCCTATGGGGCCAGAAACGTGTGAGGGGGGTGCCGACATGGGTGCGGTGGCGGCATGCGAGCGCAGCCACCAGAGCCTTCGGTGGAGCTCCGCTTGGGGCAACCAAAAGTGTGTGAGGTGTGTGCCAACATGGGTGCGATGGCGCCATGCGAGCGCAGCCACGGGGGCCTTCTGTGGGACTCCCTATCCGGCCGCGAAACATGTGAGGGGTGTGCCGAAATGGGCGCGGTGGCGGCATGCGAGCGCAGCCACTGGCGCCCTCGGTGGAGCTCCCTATGGGGCGACGAAACGTTTGACGGGTGTGCCGGAATGGGTGCGGTGGCGGCATGCGATCGCAGCAACTGGCGGTGGAGCTTTTTTGGGGGCCACGAAACGTGTGAGCGGTGCGACGAAATTGGCGCGGTGCCGGCATGCGAGTGCAGCCATTGCATTGGGGCCTTCGGTGGAGCCACCTATGGGACTGGAAACGTGTGAGGCGTGTGCCGGCACGGGTGCGGTGGCGGCATGCGAGCACAGCCACCAGAGCCTTCGGTGGAGCTCCATTTGGGGCAACCATAAGTGTGTGATGTGTGCCGACATGGGTGCGGTGGCGACATGCGAGCGCAGCCACTGGGGCCTTCTGTGGGACTCCCTATGGGGCCACGAAACATGTGAGGGTGTGCTGTAATGGGCGCGGCGGCGCCATGCGAGCGCACCTTTGGGACTTTGGGTGGAGGTCCATATGTGGCCACGAAACGTGTGATTGGTGTGCCGGCATGGGTGCGGTGGCGCCATGCGGGCGCTGCCACTGGGGCCTTCGTTGGAGCTCCCTACGGGGCCACGAAACGTGTGATTGGTGTACCGAAACTGTGGACCTGCGGAGAGCAGAGGCATGATGCGGACCTTGATGGTTACGATGATGTGGATGATGGCGATGGCAATGGGAATGACGATGATGATGACGAGGAACGATGAGGACTTGCGGAAGGCAGAGGCAAGGACGGGAGGAGCGGGGGCAGCAGAAGGATGGGAGGAGGAAGGAGGGGGAGGAGGAGTGAGGAGGAGGAGGAGGAGGAGGAGGAGGAGGTGACGCGGGGCGCTGTTTCTTCAAAACGAGACTCCAGCACCACAGAATAATTGGGAATCAACATCGCCGTCAGGCGGGCATCGCGCCGCAGGGCGGTGTCTTCACCTACCGCTTCAAAGCCAATTCCGGCACCCACTTCTGGCACGCGCACATGCAGGCGCTGCAGGCCGACCGCGGCCTCAAGGGCCCCATTGTCATCCACAAGCGCAGCGACCCGCATGCCTCGCTGTATGACGAGGAGCACGCCGCCTCGTCCTCCTCCTCCTCCTCCTCCTCCTCCTCCTCCTCCTCCTCCTCCTCCTCCTCCTCCTCCTCCTCCTCCATTCCTTCTCCTTATAAGTAACCTTTCCCTGTCGCGCCCCGAGGCTGGTCGAAAGGGCGGGCCGGGCGTTTCGCTTGAGACTTCTTTTCCATTTGTGATCTTGAAGCTCAAAATGTGCAAGAGCTTCACGGATAGAGGGAGGGCGGTTTTCAAAATGTGGTTCTCGCCTTAGCGCCGCGCAAATTCGTTCTCACAATGCCCACGAGCTTCACGAATTGAGGGCGGGTGGTTTTCGAATGTGGTTCTCGTTGTAGCGTCGCGCACACCCGTTTTCAACATGTGCAATAGTTTCACGGATTGAGGGCGGGTGGTTTTCAAAATGTGGTTCTCGTTTTCGCGTCGCGCACATTCGTCTTTCAATAATTGCAAGAATGTAACGGAGTGAGGGCGGGTGGTTTTCAAAACGTGGTCATCGCCTTGGCGCAGCGCACACTCGCTTTGGCGTCGCGCAACAGTTACGTTGATTCGCGGTGTTGAAGTCCCAAGACTCGTATTCGGGCACGATTCAGGACCGTCCAGACGCAACAGTGAGGGTGATTCGTGGCGTTAACCTCCCGAGAATGGTGTCTCGGCACGCTTCAGGTTCTTCTAACGGTTGTCTCCCAACAGGGCACTTACCTCAGTGGACATGAGCCCTTGTAGGGACCTATGAAGAGGGAGCTTGGAGGGAAGGTTTATTCCAACATCGTCGATGAGTCTTGTGTTTGCGCTGGCCCGCCTCCTCTGGACGAAAGGAGAACTGTATATGAACATAGTTTTTCGGAGGTCCGCGCGCATTTCTTGGATCGGCGTTTGGCCCCCCTGCCAGCGCCTCCGGAGCCGCCCCTGGCGCGCTCCGCGCGCCAGGGAGGGTGGTCCAGCGCCGATCCAAGAAATCCGCGCGGACCTCCGAGAAATCATTTCTAGAAATGGTGGGGGAGGAGTGGTGCGGGAAAGAGGCGAGGAGGAAGGAGTGGGGGGACCGCAGGGATGAAGGGTGGGAGGGAGCGAAGACTGGCAGGAAGTATGGAGGGAGGAGGGAGGAAGGGAGAAAGGAGGATAGCAGCATAGCTATTATGACAGTGATGGTAACAAAGATGGTGCATATGCTGACGACGACGACGACCACCACCACCACCACCACGATGACATTGCCAGTGATCAATACGACAACCATTACAAAAACATCGCCGTGCCGACGACGGCGGCGGCGACGACGACGACGACGACGGCGACGGCGTCGGCGACGGCGACGACGACGACTTGGTTTCGGATATGTTCCCAGAGGCTTTTGTCGCCCAAGCTGGACGCAACTCGAAAAAGTGGCCAGGATACTCTTGGACTGTTCTGGGGGCCAATTTCGAACGTATGGTGGCCCCGTCGAACCGGCATACAGTTGGCACGAGGGTTCAGGACAGTCTTAGTGCTGAAGGATGACCATCATGTTCTTCGTGTCTGGCCTTCCCACATTGGAATGGTCTTCGTTTGTGGTATGTCCATAGGGTCTTGGGCCTTCGGCAAAGGGGCTCACGTTCTTGACCCACGTTCTTAGGGCCACGTTTCGAATGTAAGCCGAAGTGCTCATCCTCGCCCTCCTTCTGCTCCTCTTTGCCCGTCCCGTCCCCTTCAATGAAAAACATATTACGCCTCCCAAGATACAAACGCCTCCTCCTCCACTTCTTTCGCCCACGTTCTCCTTCTCGCCCCAGTCCCCCCGATGTTTGACTGCTTGTGCCCCTGGACCTCTCAACCCCTTCCCTGGGACCAGCGTTGCGCCCCGGGTACTCGTTCACTGTCCCAGGGCCCGAAAGCGGCCGCCAGAGGCCAGAGTCGAGAAAACAGACTGCAGGCTTTCTTTGTCTCTTTCGCGGCGCCTGGAGGTCCGGGTCCGTGGATTGGACATCGCCCCCTGGGCCCATCCTCTGGACTACACGTAAGAGTGACCCTTCACCGGAGTAAGCTGTGGTGCGGGCCCACTGGGGTCCCCCGATCGCCGAACGCGAGGCGGCAGTGGCGTCTTGCGCGCTTGTGTTTGGCCCCCCCGCGGCCCCAAAAAAGCCGCGCACCAGAGGTAATTCTTACCCAGGGTCACTCTTTGCGTGTAGCCGAGTCCTCGTATTCGTGCCGGCCAGGGCTCTAAGGGTGGCCGAGCCGTGGCGGCGCGGGTGCCCGGTGAGATCTTGGATTCAGATAGCCCGAAAGCGCACAGAAGTTTCGATCTCTCGGCGGTGTCCGCGGGGAGGTGAGGACAGGGGGGCGGGGGGGGGCATGGCCGGGGCCATGACATCTACCACACCTCATGGCCCCCTCTTCCCCTTCCAGTACGTTCCCTCGCCCCTCCCTCGTCCGCCCACCTGCCTCGGGCCATGCTGCTCTCCCCCCTCCTCTTGCTTGCCCTCCCCGTCGGCGCACCCGATCGATCCTCCTCCCTTCTCGCCCCACTGCGAGGAGCGCATCGTGGCGCTCAGCGACGAGTGGCCGAGCGCGGAGGCGTGCCTGAGGGCCGAGGGCGCGCAGCCGGGAAACCCCGTGTGCGCCGAGATAGACAAGGCGACGGGGTTGGCGAGGAGTCGGAGCATCCAGGTTCGAGGTTCGAGGTCCTTGGCCGATGTCTACCCACCCAGTATTTGCACCCAGGGGCTCTCACGTGTTACCCTCAATCAGTCCCCGACGGCGGGGCTGGCCGCGCCAGCACGCTCAGGCGTAGACCCGTCCGCCCCTGAGTGGCCTCCTCTTCCACCCTCCCCACCCCCCCGCGGCCGCCCTGTCTGTCCTTTTCCCGCTCTGGCACGCTGGCCAATTCGCTTCTCGGTGCCCCCTGCTTAGCTCCAGCGCTGGTGCAGCCGAACGTGCCTCGCCGCCGACGGAAAAATTCCCCGCATTCAGTGCATTGGTGGTCCCCAAACGTGGTGGTGAGAACACCGGGTGGTGAGTTTTGGGCGATTTGGGTAATTGTTTTCGAGCGTTGGCTGGCCCAGGAAACGCAAAACCTCGTGGCGACCGCGTGTCCCCAAACCCGGTGGCGGCCCAGAATTATTTATTTGGGGAATCGGGGTCACCACCGGGTGTCACTTGGTTTGGAGACCACCAAGTTCAATGGGTCCGCTGGGGTTCCGCCTGGTGGGCGGCCGTGGGCGCCTCGTGGACGCCCCGTTGCGGCGGCCAGGTCCGCCGGGTTTCTGGTGGTGGGCGTCCGTGAGCGCTTCGTGGGGGCCCTGTGGGCTGGCTGGGTGCGCCGAGGTTTCGCCTGGACGCACGTGGGCGCCCACGAGGGGTCTGCTGCTGCTTGAAGGACATAGCTTGCACATCCTAGCCTGCAACACATCGATCATGCAACACAGCTTTTGCACCACCTTGCACCGCATCGGTTGCACCACAGATCTGTGTAGCACATAGCTGGTACCGCACGCACTGCATCACATTAGGTTTCAACACATCGGTTCTCATTTCAGAATATATAATAATTATTATTATGTATTATTCATAACAACCCACAAAAAACACAAAAAACAAACAAAAAAAAAAAAAAAAAAAAAAAAACTTCACCAACCTCCCCCCTGTGGTTATCGACCCCGCCTGGGACATTGCAAAAGATATTCGATTCTGCATCATCGCTAGCTTTCCGAAGTGGAACCATACCATGCCAGCTAGGCCGGTGTCGCCCCCCCTTTCATCCCTGTCAATGATATCATGCACACGCTCGTTTGTTTCAAAAAATCATGTTGGAAGAACCCCCGTTGCAAACAAAAATCGCGCGCACATGTCGAAACCACACGAGTTACGCAAGCGTGCTAGTATAGAAACTTATACGTATACATCTATATATATATATATACACATATGTGTGTATACATGTGTTCCGAAATATTGCACATGTTCTGCCCGCGCCCACTTGCTGAAACCATGGGAGATCATATGGTTTGAGCAATCTCGTCCATAACCCGCATTCTCATCTCACCACGCGGGGCATTCGCGTTGATCTAGCATGCGCCCAGTGCACGAATTCGCACCAATCACTACCAGTCGGGTTGCTCGCGCGCGCGCCGTCACGCGCGCATGTCGAAATCTTTCCAAAACCATCGGGCTTCAAAGAATTTCAACGTAGCGCTTTTCAGAAATATATGAAAAACCAATTGCAATCCAACAACAAGTTTACCAGATTTCTCTGATTCCTGCCCGCGCGCACTTCTTCACAATCAACCCCATGAGCGCCATCGCATCACCGCCGTTACCTCCATCGTCAATCGCCACCATTGCCGCAGTCATCAGCCAACCACCTTCATCACCAGCACGTGGACATCAGCATCTTCACCATCGTCACCAGCGGCGCCGTCATTGGCATTGCCGCCGTCATCGTCATGATCGCCACCATCACTGCTACTGTCGTCATCGTTGCCGCCGTTGTCGACGTCATCATGATACCGCGCCCGCTTGGGTCACCGACCCGCAGTGAAGTGCCCGCGCGCCAGCGCGTCCTTTGAGACATGCGGAAGCGGGCCTCTTGCGCCGAGGTCCTATTCCGCTGGTCCTGTTCCGCCCGGCCCTGTTCCACCGAGGTCCTGTCCCGTCCTGTTCCGCCTGGTCCTGTTCCGCCCTGTCCTGCTCCACCCGGTCCTGTTCCGCCGGTCCTGTTCCGCCCGGTCCTGTTCCGCCGTCGCGAGCTCTCAAGCAGGGGCGCTCCTGCCGCCCGACGCGGCGGAACCGGGCTTCGGCGGAACCGGCTTTTGGCGGAGTCAGTCCTCGGCGGAAACGGTCCTCGCCGGAACCGGTCCTCGGCGGAACCGGTCTTCGGCGGAACCGGCCTTCGGCGGAACTGGTCCTCGGCGGAAACGGTCCTAGGGTGTTCGGGTGTTAGGGCGTTACGGTGTTAGGGCGTTAGGGTGTTTTGGTGTAGAAGTAGTAGTAGCATTGGTCCCGCCCGCCGCCCGACCCGCCCGCCCGTCAGGGTCCGCCCGCTCGACCCGCCGTCTGCCCGTCAGGGTGCCACGCGTGCTACCTCGATTATGCGTCACATGTTAATGTCCCGCCCGCCCGACCCGCCGCCCGCCCG